AGGGATGGTGGTCGGGAAGCCCCTTCCTCTGAACCAGGAGCAGTGGGATGGCTGCTCAGAAGCCCCTGCCTCTGGGCCAGGAGCAGTGGGACAGAAGGTGGCCCAAAAGCCCTTTCCTCTGGGCTGGGAGCAGCAGGAGGGATGGTGACCGGGAAGCCCCTTCCTCTGGACCAGGAGCATTGGGACGGTGGCTCAGAAGCCCCTACCTCTGGGCCGGGAGCAGCGGGACTCAGTACCTTGGTCTGGTGGTCTGATGTCCTCTGAGTCTTTGTAGTGTGGAACCAGGTGGCTGCCTGTCTGCAGCGGGGTGATTCGGTGTCTCCAGCACGACTGGGGACCTTGGTCGGTCATGGGCAGACCTGCCTGTCTGCTGCGGGGTGATTCAGTGTCTTCCGCGTGACTCTTTCAATGGCAGCCTAGGTTTCCAGGTTGTTGGGAACAGATGCTGAGACAGAGATTCTTTCCTGCTTTTGGGGTTAACAGCTTCTTGGCCCTAGGAGCCTGGAATGGCAGCCAGGGAGCTTTCTTCCGGGTGCTGGGACCTGAGAAACTACTTTATAATTTTTTCCCCTCCTACCATGGCTCCCACTCCAAAGCTAGTTTACCTCAATAACTGCTAGTTTACTTTCTGCCTCTGTAGATTTGCTTATTGTGGGTATTTTATACAAATGATATTACATGTGATTCTTTGTGATTGGTTTCCTCACTTAGAATAATATTTTCAAGTTTTGCCCATGTTGTGTAGGCACTATTTCATTCCTTTTATGGCTAGATAATATTCCTTTGTATGTATAGATAATACTACTTTTTCTTTTAACCTGTTCATCCATTGATAGACATTTGAACTGTTTCCATTTTTTACTATTAATGTTTTTATAATATTTGTACACTAGTTTTCAGATATGTTTTTATTTTTCTTTGCACTGGAGTATATTTTGGTTTGAATAGTAAATCTGTTTAACTATTATAGGAACTGCCAGATAATTTTCCAAACTGGGTGAACCAATTTACTTTTCTAAGAACACTGTGTAAGAGTTACAGTTTTTCCATATTTTTGCCAATACTTGTTACTATCTAACTTATTGATTATAGTCATCCTAGTAGCATTGTGATTTTGATTTTGATTTCCCTGGTGATTAATGATATCTATCATCTCTTTGTGTGCTATTGGCTATTATGTGTTTGGAGAAATAGCTATTCCCTTTATCTCTTTTTTTTGGTACCTGGGATCGAACTCGGGTCCTTGCTCCTGAAACCACTGAGCTAAATCCCCGGCCCCTCTTTATCTCTTTTTAAATTGAGTTCTTTATTATTGAGTTTTAATCTTTTTACTTTTTTGGATAATATGTTTCTACTCTCAAAATCATTGTATTTAAAATAACTTTCTTATAAACAACATGTAGTTGAGTGCTGTCTTAACCCATTATGTTAATTTCTATCTTTATTTGGTGCGTTTAAACTGTTTACACAATAGCAGTTATTGATCCATGAGGAATTAAGCTTGCCATTTTATATTTTTATTCTGTTTTTGTTTCCATCTTATTGTGTTCTTATGAATTTCATGAACATTTAAAAATTTTCTTTCAATCTATTGATAGTGCTTTTGAATGCATCTCTTTTTATAGTCTTTGTAGTGATTGTTCTGACTCTCCAGAAAACTTTCAGACTCAAGGTCTAGGGTTAAAGAAAGAAGAAAAAATATTAAGCAAATTAAACTTAAAAATCTGTCATGTCTGAGGCCGTTAGACTGAATAGCATAAAGATTGAGGAAAGTTTTTTAGCAGTCCATCGCTTTAACCACTCAACCACCTTGTCCCCAGAAAGTTTTTTAGAATTTGAAAACATGTTAGTTTCAGCATAAATCTTCATTTTAGCTTTTTGTTACTGTAACGTAAATGATAGTATCACCCAACATAAGTTGGATGGAACGGTTGGAACTGCACTCATTCATAAACAAGTGGAACTTACAATAAATCATTCTAGATTTTCTTTGTGGAAACATGTGCTACGCATTATTTATGTCAGTAAAATCTGTCAGTTATGTATCGTGTATGTATGTGCATATTCACATGTCTGCGTGCCTACCCCTACTAACCTTAAACCAGTTTTAAACATTTAGCATGCTGCTGGGGATATTACTAGTACCTTGAATTTTTAAAATTAAAAGTACCTACAGTTTTACTTTAAGAATCTAACTGAACAAACTAATCATAAGCACATGTTTATCTTGTGCCCTCTGTTTCACAGTATCATTGTTTTTATATGGTGGGCTGTGAGGTACCATTGGATGTCAGTTATCTCAGGCAGACCATATGCATGACTGTGGTTAGATACAGCAATTAGATGAGTACCGTATGCTTTTAGAGTGTAGGGAAGTTTTACATGGATAATCTGTAGGAGAATGTTCACAGTTCTCTGAAACATTCACGAAAAAGTACTCCCTCACTCTTCTTGTTTTCAGGCTGTAAAGATGTGGGTAGCACATCACTCCTTGTTGCACTGATACTGCAGAAAGGGAGAGGGAGAATCGTCTGTTGCTTAACCCCTTGAAAATTGTGAAGGATGTGTGCTTAATATCTATCTGCTTTAAGGATTTCTAATATGGTATTCTATGGTGTGATACAGAACAGCAAGAAATAGTCTAGTATTTCAGCTCTAATAAATTTTAATATATATTTTTACTTGTGTGAAGTATTATTTAAGGATTCCTTTAAAAGTGCTCAGTATTATACTGTCTTCTCTAATTTATAGAGGCCTCTTTTTGGTCTCTGCCATGCTGAATAATTGTGTATATAATAATTCTTTTGTAATGACTTTATTTCTGTGATAAACGTTGATGTGGCAAAACTAATTCTAATAAATTTGTCTTGACTTTTTCCCCTTTAGGTTGATGAGTGGTGTTAAGAATAATGTTGGAAGAGGGATCAATGTTGCCTTGGCCAATGGTAAGAATAGCTATTGTAACTTATGCAAATAGTCTTGTGCCCCAAAGTAAAATGTGCACTTGCATGCAAGGATCAGGTTAGAAAATGCCACTCTTGACACTAAAGTCCATCCCTTAAACCACAAAAGATGGAAACTTGGTGCCGGAGTATTTATAGCATGCTTTCCCAAAAGCATCCAACTCTATGCACTATGTGGAGAGCTTCCTGTGGAGATTGTTAGGAAAAAATAATCTAATGTTAAATTGATGGACTCTTGCTGCACATTTAGGAATTCTAGCATAATATTAAGGTAGCTAGATGGAATGAGGGTGCGTAAGGTAATAAAGAATTGTGGACTCTTGGGTAGGCAGAACTAGGAATAAAGAGTAAGAATTTATTGTCATTTTTCAATGTCCACATTCTTTTCAGAAGGTTATTAGTGTAGATAACATCATTGGATTTTGAACAACTTGAAAACTAAATCTAAAATCTAACCCATGAAGTCACTCCATACTGATACCCATTGTTTAGGTATAAATACCTACAAAGATGTGTGCCGTGGTTAGAAACCACCAGCCACCTCATCCCCATTCATCTTGTAGGAAAATAGTTTTTATTTCTTTCATAAGAGATAAATTTTTGCCTTTCTAGTTTCATTTTCTTAAAGCACTCAATATCCATTTAACCCATTTTCAAGGAGAAATAAATGTAAATTTTTAAAATGCCTTTTCTGTAGAAAATACTATCTGATTCAAAGTGCTGAAATGTATTGAATCTTACATTTTAAGTTTGTAAATTGTATGCTGTGCAAATTTTTAGTTCAGTACGTTTGTTTAAACAAAACAGTGATACCTGATTCAGTACATAATTCTTTGCTATAAAAAGCTTATATACTTTTTAGAATATGGTAACATAAGGATGAAATATATCTAACTTTGAATTGAAATGGTCTTCCCTCAGAAATAAACTTCTGTTTGCCACTCTTTGGTATAAAAGATTAATTAGAAAGTCTTATCCAAAAATTATTCTTCAAAAATATATTTCAAGTACATATGATTCTGATTTTAAGTTCTCAAAATAATTCCTTCTCTACTAATGAATGCACACCAATCATTGAATAAAGCCATTTGTCTTCTACAGTGTGCAGTGTATTTCATTTGCATAATTTGATCTGAATTCAATCTTTTTCAGGCAAAACAGGAGAAGTAGTAGACACTAAATATTTTGACATGTGGGGAGGAGGTACGTGTGAATAATTTCTAACTCTTCTGTTGGCACTGACTTAATCACTTCAATATAGGGTAATGAGAGAGTAATGGTACCATTTGTGTGTTCATTTTGTTTCTTTGCACTAAATGTCCAGCTATATTTAAGTGATCAGCCATACTGTATACCTTTTATTTTTGTTAATAAAATTGTTTCTGGTATGTCATTGAGTACAGTAATATGAATATAGAGATTTTCAAACATCTGAGTTGTCCTCTCTCCTACAGGGCAACTATTTCAGAGCCCTGGGGTCCTTTAGGTTTCTGCCTGAAGTTTAAAAAGAACAAGTTGAAGACCAGCACAGCTAATTTAAACATTGACTGATTGATTTGTACTTCCATATGATTTTGTAGTTTTAAGAATCATGAGCCTTAGACATATAAGATAAAGTGTCAGGTTTTGGAAAAGCAGTAATCTATTAATTTATTCTAGTTCCATTTTCTGACTGTAGTATACCTGTTAAAGCAGATGGATATCTGAAAGATGGAATAGAATTTTCTAATTCCATGGACTTACAGCCATCCACAAATATTTTTCCCTTCTGTATTTGGAACTCCTTCAAGGAGTGAGAAGAAGTCACCACCATACAGCGACAAGGGACAGGCACTCTATGAAAGAGTGATACCCTCCAAAAGGTTTCTTCTTCAGCTTTGAAGGAAGGCCAACACTGGTTTATGTTTTAGTGTGTACCTCCTCATCCCTAGACTCCAACAACTATTAGTTGAAATTTATGTAAAAAGTTTTCAGGCAGTTCTGCTTATCTAACATTTCTTCAGCTTATTATACAGTGCTGCATATTAAGATTTGGAGAACATTTCATAGCTGTCAAAACTACATAAAATGTTACCATTACCAAGATACTCATGTAATGGTACAAGATCCCAATGATGTATGTAACTGTATTTTATACCTAAAATGTACCAAAAAACTTAATGGGGGGAAAAATAAATAAAAATGTTACCATCAGCTCTAGATTCCAAAGGTATTATTGGTCCTACTAAAATTGATAGAAACACTCCTACAAGCCCATCACTGAAATTTGACCTGTGACCAGAAGCTCTGGTGGTCCCCACTCCTCTCATTACAGGCAGACAGGATACATGACAGGAAACTGTAAGATGATGGTGGTCTTATGAAGGAGCACACTTAACAGTTTATAAACTCTGTAAGATTTGCCTCCATTGTGGATAACTTTTCACTAGAAATTATTGCTTTCAAATTATTGTTTTATATTTTATAATACTCATTTAAGAAATGATTATGGTGGCTGTTCATTTAAAACCCAACCCTTTCTTCTTTTTCAGATGTGGCACCTTTTATTGAGTTTTTGAAGGGCATACAGGATGGAACAATAGTCTTAATGGGAACATATGATGATGGAGCAACCAAGTATGTAAACTTCAAAGTTTGCTTAACTTTTTGTAGCTATAATTCATCATAAAAGCAACATTTTCATTGAAAAATATTTGTTAAATAGAGCAAGATAATGCAACTATCAGATAAACATCAACGGTTTTTTTCTTTTTTTTGCAAACTATTCGACTTATCTAACATTTCTTCAGCTTATAAGAATTGAGAATTGAACCTAGGGAATGCCAATATTCCCAGCCCTTTCCATTGTTTTTATTTTGAAACACCACCTCACTAAGTTACCCAGGCTGACCTTTGGCTTTGCAGTCCTGCCTCAGGTATCTGAGGAGCTAAAAGTATCACTGTGAGGCCCTAGGCCCAGCTGTTATCAGCATTCTGAAAGCCTGTGTCTTTCCTGTCTTTCTCATCTGCATCTATTGTTGTAGAATTAAAATCGCGTTGTCCATAAATTTTTTCATACTTTGTTTTATATTCTGTTTAACAACCTTAACTTGTTTTCCCTGGCATTAACATTCTTCAGTACCATTTTTTTATGCCATCAGTTTACAATATGGGCTAAACTGTATTTAAAAATTCCCCATCACCAGATTTTTCATCTTATAAATAACATTGTGATAAACATCCTTTTCATGATTCTTTTTTTTCTTTTTACACTTTTGATCATAGCCTTAGATTGTATTTCTAGAAGTAGAATTAATGGCTAAAGATACAGTAGTGATACTATTTGTTGCCAAGTTTAGTAGATGGTAGTAATAGAATTTAAAAAAATATTTTATATGTTTTAAAAATTTTTCAAACACGGAGCACAAGGAAGAAAACAAATTACAGTTCATCTCATCATACAGGGATGACTGCTGATAACACTTTAGTTTCCATTCCAGCTGACTTAATGCACATATTTTAAATACTTAGAATGATAGTATTTGTAGCATACTTTCCACATATGTGGTGACTATTTTCCCATATTGAATATTCTTCATAAAAAATTATTCATGTCTGTCTAGCCCAGTTTTTAATCTGTTTAATTTGGATGCCTGTTGTTAGAATGTAGGTATTTTCCAATTTTTTATATTTACCAAAATGACTTATCTAAAATTTCTTAATCATCTATGTCTGTGTTCTTCAGATAAAAGTTTTGAAGTGAAACTGTTGAATTAAAACAATGCACATTTTAAGAAGAGAATTTCAGAAAATTGTGCAAACCATGTTTTTCTCTGAAGTTTTTGGACACCAGGTTTTTGAAAGTTCTAGTTCTAAAAGTTTAGGTGTGTTTTTTTCTGTTTTCATTTTGTCTTGTTTTGTTTTGTTTTGTTTTGTTTTGTTTTGTTTTTGGCTTGTTGTTTTGCAGTGCTGGGGGTTTAATCTAGGGGCTCATGCATACCAGGCAAGTACCCTGCCACTGAGCTACATACCTAGCAAATGATGGCCCCATCCCTTTTTATTTTGAGACAGCGTCTCACTGAGTTTGCCAGACTGGCCTGGAACTGAGATCCTTCAGCCTCAGCCTCTGGAGTAGCTGGGATTACAGACGTATATACTACCATATCTAGTTCTGAGTTTTAAAAAAGTATATTGCCTTTTTAAAAAACATGACTTGTTTGTTTTGCTATTCTTTAATAAATTGTCTTTTGACCATTTAAGTTGACACATACTGATTTGTAAGAGTGTTTAGATATTAACCATTTCTCATTTTAAAAATGTATTTTTGGTAAATTATTTCCTTTTAATTTTGTTAATTTATGGTGCTTTTTTGACTTTTAGAAGATTGGACATTGTATAGTCAAGTTTGTGGAATTTGTTTTTTAGTTTTTTCTGATTTTAAACTTGAAATATTTTTTGTCTCCAAATTAGATTCTTAGTAGATTTTTACTGCAGTGATTTTACAGTCATGTTACCTTTTACAAAATATATTTGTAATTTCCCTGAGACTTACAATGCCTGTGTAACACCAGGTTCTTATGTTGACCTGACTGTGTTTTGGGAATTTCTATTTTAATAACCTATTCGCTTGTGTTCCTAAAGATAATATTTAAATTATTTTATAACTGTCTTACAAAGTTAAATGTACTTCATACCTATCTCGTCTTTTTTTTTTTTCCCATTAAGTTTATTGGTACAATTTAGGTATAAAATACAGTTACATTTACATGAGTATCTTGGTTCTTATTTTTTTTCCCCTTCCCGTGCCCTCCCTTCACCCCCTCCACCCTTCCCTATTTGCAAAGACTTTGTTTCCATTTTTTTCCTTTTCTCATATTTTTTCTTT